CAAATATTTTATAGCCGGTGATATAATAAATTCTCAAAGCACAAATTAGTGTAGAAAATTAATCGAAACGAAATGGTAGCTATGAATTAACTAAACCTAAGTCCTGTTTTTATTGGCAATGATTTTAAGTTACTTCCACAATTATGTAGCTAAATAAGTAGAATCATTAATAATTTTGATTAGCTATAAATGAAAAGTTGCAAGTAGCAATATGAGTTGGGACTTACTTTACAAGTTTTCTTGAAACATATTATCATTTTTTGTTTTGCAAAGCAAGGCAAACCACAATTTGACCATAAAGTGGCTTACACCATTATGACTTATCCTTTCCTTTATTTAATGATCTCCGTTATACATATAATAGAGTCATACACTGCATGTTATTATATACGATCTTTCTTCTTGACTCGTCTTGTATATTATTAATTAAAAATCTATTGACTTGCCCGGAATATTCTTAATTAATCCTACAGTGTTGCATTTTGTTCTCTGTTATCTTTTTCGCAATCGCGTAACGTGTTTCTCTCGATAGCTTAACATTGCGAGAACGCACAACAATATGAAGCCATACGGGAAAGGTCGACGTCGTGTCGTCCCCCGTGTAGTACACGTCGAAAGGGTTGTAACCGGATATAGCTAATCTCGTCCCGCATGGGTTTCCTTCTTGGGCACGAGTCAGAACCTAAACCATCGTCCACTCCTGTCGATAGAAGAAATTAAGTGAACAGAATAATGCTGTAAAAGCTTTCACGCGTTTCCAAGCGCATCGTAGCGAGTGGGGGTAATCTGTGTCTGCGGGTCAACGCAGATATCCTCTTTAACCCATTGAACAAGTTGTAATATACAAGTATGAAGTTTGTTAAAAAAAACAAGTAACCGTGCAAGGTAGTACGTCAAATAAAGTAGAAACGGTTTTCATAGTTAAGAAGTACCTTCTAAATTCATTTTTGTTGAAATTTAGTACTAATGCTTTACTTCTTTAGAGTTTAACGATTAAATGATGGCGTTCTTTTCTTTTACTCATGGTGTGTGTTCTGATAGCGAGCATGGCATGTGCATGTGCAATTATTCGAATATAATTTTCATTTACTTTTCTTTCTATTAAGATAGCTATAATGTAAAGTATATAAATCACTTATTTCGTACCATATTATAGTAATAAAGTAGAACTGAGTAGAATTTGCTTCCTCATATAATTTATAAATCCACCATCTTCATAAAATAAGAATTTTATTCCTTTGAAAGAATGTTTTCTAAAATTTGTGATCGAGATTTAATATGGAATTCTATCAATTGAGTTTTACGTGTAAATAACTAAAATATAGCTATAGTATAGTCAGTTTCTTTTCAGTCCAGTTACTTTTTCAACAAGAAAACTGTACTCCTGAATGAACATTACGAGAATTATTCTCTATAATTAGCTATAATCTGTCATATTCTATAATAAGTGAAACTTAAAATGCTTCTTTTTAACCATTCTCTTCTTTTATTTCGTTTCACTCGTCTCGTGTCCTTTGCCATTTATCTGCTTCCCCTCTCACGTTTCTCAAGCTCAAAGGTAGCGGAACCCGTCTACCGTGTAGTCGAAGCCACGCGTGTACGTGTAGGCCGCGACCTCAAAAGAGGCCAGGAACTTGTAGACTCGCGACCACACGTCGTCAGCTATCGATCCTTCGACGCCACTTTGCGGCGAGTGTGTCTCGTGACGGCCAGCCGAGCGAACGACTGAAACTACTACAGCTACCATGCCTATTCTCTCTCCGAACGACCGATGCCATCGGCTGACTTGGATATTTGCAGCTGGTAAATACTGCCCTCGTAAAATACACTTGACAAAAACAGGACTGCGTTTTTTCTTCACCTAAACACTCAAACGGTGTTTTCTCGCGAACCTAACTGGAACGTCCAAACCGGTCGGTCTACCGGATCGACAGTATTGAATAAGCAATAATTATTTAGTCTTCTAATAAAACATGCGAAGGATTTATAACAAATAACTCTTGTCAAATTCTCTTTGACAGTAGAGAAAAGGAATATTGTAACGGATTTAGTTTTCAATTTCTTGAAAACATTCAATTATTAAAAGTGTTACTTTACTATTGAAAATTTGGGAGGGCTACTGTAAATTTAACAAAACTGAAACCTTCTTTGTCCTCGACAACTTTACTTTTGTTACGATATTCTTCGACGGGAATACGCAAAATTCCATTGACTAACATACGTAATTGGCAATCGTTTACATTCAAAACGAAATGTAAAGCGAAAGTAAAAGCAAACTACAAGGCAGAAACAAGAGGATTGATCGTGAATGTTTGACGACGAGTTTACGCAAGATGAGCGAAGGATGTTGTCGAACGGTGATCCTGTGTATTATATCGACACGTTGATAGAAATGCAAATTCGCGGCGCAATCGATGCAAGAGCGAGGGGCAAACGAACGAGGGATACACGGACACAGGGGAGTTTCACGGAGCCAATTACACGTGTGATGAGCAACACGTCGCTATAACGCTATGATTAGGGCCAATATGGCGAGCCACTGCTCTCGCCTATCGACAGCTCAGGCCGGCATGAACATCGGCGTCCGATAATAGCCTGGCCTTTGCCAACCCGCTTTAAAATGATAAAAGGAAAAGGATCTCCCCGCGAACGCGTCCGTTCGTTACACTCGTTTATTCAATCGTGTAATCCATTTTCGCGACACCATAACGTGTTGACATTTCCATTAGAGAACAAATTATTCAATTTTTTAAACATACTTTATTACCTTTGTGATTTTTTTATGTTTTGCTGCCATACATATGTATAAGTCAGTGAAGAAATATTGTATTTGTTTATATTCTATTATTTATATCCTATATTATATATCCTATATATTTATATCTTATACTGTATATCCTATATTTATTCATATCCTATTAATCATTCTCTACACATAACAGTGACACACATAACATAGAAGCAAGTTGAATACAACTGTCAGTAGAAGTGTTAATGAAATCAATCGACGACAACAAAAGTACAAGATACACACTAAAATTATTCATTAGCTGCAAGAAATCTTCTTAATTTATTTTTGATACTGATTTAATTCGGACATAAAACGTTGAGATCATTAGGTAATTATGAAATGTTTCACTTGCAACAATATAGCTGTTTTTATCACTTACAGCTTTTATTGTTTTAGGTAGCCGTATGCTTTTGTGTCTATCATCTAGTATACTAATTTACTTAACTACTAAAACAACTTAACTCATTTGATCCGATTTCAAAAAGATTATTCAATTTTAAATAGTGTCTGTTCTATCTCACCTGTGTAATAGAATTAACAAATACTTATTTTAAAGCAATAACATACAAGCCATTTCTGCTAAGATCTCTTATACCCACACACTATTGTATAATTTTTTAATACGTCTTAT